ATCAGTCAGCGAACGAGAATGAGAGAATTAGAGCTCCTGAATTCTTCCCTCGTGCTTTGTGTCTCTGTCAGTCTATAAACCAGAGTGATTAGGTAATAGAGTCCACTGAACATGTGGGAAGAGAAAATAAAAAATAATGTTGAAAAGGATTAAAAAGACGATGACTCGAACATTTTATATGTGACAGTGTTAATGTGTGGACTAACAGTCATTGTCTTTGTGATACAGAGGCTGACCGACAGTTTAGTATGCAGCAAAGAAGAGAACCAGTCCCACAGACGGTGGAAAGAGGGTAATCAAACAGGCGAAAGCAAAGTAATTCGTTTAGTCGTTAGATAACTGTTTTTATATTTTAAAATAATCTTACTTTAATCACTTTCATCTCCTCACTTCATTTGTTATGAAAGCCCTCCTGAACTCTTGAGTGTGCTCCATTTGTTTTGCCTGGGTTGAAGGCCAACTGTAATAAAGAGTGCTGCTTGGTTTCAGCTCATATTCCTCTCCTTATCTAATCCCATTAAGGCTCACGCTTCAGGAAATAGGAGTGCCTCCTGGTAATGAAGAAATACATTAACGGAGCTGCAAAATGGCTGTACAAAGGCGGTTTTCTCCTTCAGTAATCCCTGCGACATATTCCTGCAGAGCTCCCGTTTATTTATAAAGATCGTTTTGACTGTGCGGAGCAATTTGGTAATGACCGCATACAGCTGAAGTGCATTTTAAGCGAAAGTGTTGTGCATAACACTGCTTTGTGAGAAAATTAAACCAGGATATCAAGGTAAGCAAGTGAGTTATGCTGTATAAAAACCTTAATTCCAGCTACTCAAGGCCTTTGAAACCCAGACTGTAGATGTGAGGGCTCTTCACTGCCAGCTTCAAAAGCTTGAGTGTCCCATTGTTTATGCATGACTGTCAGTCACAGACATAGCAGCTTAAGAATAAGGAGGAGGTGGCAGAAAATTGTAAGTGACGAGTTTACATTCCAATAAAGTGTACAGGGATTATTTTTTGTTTTCCAGATTGCTGTATTTAAAATGATCTGAAATGCTGAGTGTGCTTTGGATAGTAAAAACTCCCCTTTCTCTCATGCACACACACTTGCACAGCACAGCAGCAGCCTGTCTGTCCCAGTTACCACAGGATGCATCTGTACACTTCAGTCACACCTTCTTCTGCATGCATGAAAAATGAAATCCTTCAAGGCTCAAGCAAGAAATAAGTGGATGTCTGGAGTGTCAGTAGCACAGGTTTAATGGGGCTAACGGTGGTTGTCTGAGCTTCTGCTACTTTGGTGCCTGCTTTCAGGAAAAACGAAGCAGGAAAATAATTTAAAATAAGAAGCTTTTACGGAGCAGACCATTGAGCATTTAATAATGCATGAGTTGCTTTACAAAGTTAATAGATTTTGTTATAGAATTACAGCCAGTTAATGTGAACACATTCCTTACAGGCCATCTTCAGAAAAATCCAGTATGGTGAGAGCTTCCTGTTACGTAACACTGCTCCTCACTATCAGCAGAGTCTGCATGGCATCCAACCCAAGCTTCAGATGCCCATACTATATGACTTGAGAACATTTGCCTCAGCAAGGAAGTTACTATTTATAAATGTTCCCTTATAAAATATGTAATTTAACAGCAGCTAAATTGTTGCTACCTCTACCTTCCTAAAAATGCACAAATGCTTGCAGTGCTTTTGCTGAATGAACACAAATTCAACTGTAAGCTATATGTGGAAAAAGTGGAAGATCTTTGTTTGTTGTTACCAAGTTGCTTATCTACCATTTTTAATAATACCAGTGAGGAATACTGTGCTGTGTGATCAAGTTGCTGATTGAAAATGACTTTTTTTTTTCCAGTTCTCTTTCTAGTTTAATTTCCTCTGGCTAAAATGAGTAGACGTAGATGTATTTGGCACTCTGCTGCCACCTTTTGTAGTGTTCAGAGCATTACCTCAGAAGCATAGTTTGCTGTCTTTTCATAGCCATATTACAATATATATATGGCCATGTTAAAAGAAGAAAAGGGCTTCTCTCACCTCTGTTTATTCAGGTATATATAAATCATAATCAAAATGAAATATTTTCCAAAGTACTCTTTTCATGTCAAATCATTTTTAATATCAAGGCAAGAACATTACTGATGATATTTTCTCTTATCCACATTTATTCACAACCAAAAGCTGATCCTCACAAGATTTGAATACATTTTAGATTCACTTTTTTGTAGTTTCCTCCTCCTTTGATAAGTTCTTGATGATCTCTTCTTTCTTGGCCTGGAGACGCTCTTCTCTGCGTTTGCGGGCTTCTCTTGTCTTTGTGCGCCGGGCCTCGGCTTGGTCACTGCAGGACAGAAACAAATTAATTTCAGTGTATAAATGTTGCTGCGCTTGGAGTGAAATAATACAAGAAAAGAAGAAGTGGAAACGTACGCCAGGAGCTTCTTGCGAGCCTTGTCAGCCTTTAATTTGTGGATGTGCTCCATAAGGATGCGTTTGTTTTTGAAGACATTACCCTTCGCTCTTAGGTAGAGACTGTGGTACCTAGAAGACACAAAACATTACTCATCTATCAATGAAACTGACATAAAACCTTATTCATGATCAGTGAGTACATCAGTGATGACATTCACTCTTACATGTGCCTGTCAATTTTTTTGGACTCCCTGTAGCGACGAAGAAGACGTCGCAGAATTCTCATGCGCCGCATCCATGACAACTTCTCCGGCATACGAGCATTGGCCGTGCCCTTTCTCTTACCTGGAAAGAAAATTATATTACTGAAATAAAACTCTTATCTTACTCCAAGTTCATACTGAAACCACCACTACTTGCAGTTTCTATAAGCAGTCCTTAACATGTACACACCGCTTGATTTTATTTTCCCAAATACGCAATTATTAGCCACATTATTAGTGAAAGCAAATTTGGGGAAAGATAACAATAACCTAACTACTCACCATAACCCGTGTGACGTCCCTTGCGGCGTGCCAGTGTGTTCTTGCGGCAGCGTGCACGGGAATGAACAGTCACAGGTTTTCTGATGATCAGTCCATCCTTTACCAGTTTTCGTATCTGCTGGCCTGTAGCCCAAATAAAATTCATTTAAATAAAAGCGTAAATTTAAGGAGCCCAGAGCCTACTACATAAATCCACAAAGGAAACAACTCACGAGAGTTTGCGTTGGCAATCTCGTTGGTCTCGTTGGGGTCCAGCCACACTTTCTTTTTACCACAGCGCAAGACACTGGAGGCCAAGCGCTTCTGGAGCCTGAGCATGCTGGGAGAGCAAAATCATTATATAAGCACTGTTGGAAATAGTTTTTATTAAACTAAATTAAAAACAAACAAACAAAAACCCCAATATTACAGCAAGAAGAAGCGTATCATTTGATTTAGTTTAATCTAGTTTAGTCCAGTGAGGATATAATTTAGTAATAGAAATTATAATTCTATTACTAATTCACCCTGGCAGTTACAGAAAACATACATGAAAAAAATATGTCACATTCTACGTTTCTGTAGTACAATCTTATTTGTTAGGATGGAATAAACTTTGCCTACCCATCACCATTCAATTAAAAAGCACCCTCGATTGTGTTCATAAGCCATTTTTACTTCATACCTAATTTTTTATGCCTATACAAGAAGGTGTGACCTTGACCAGTTGAGCGCCTAACGCCAATATATCATTTAAATTATTTTCTTCGAGTGTCATAAACTAACTGTTACATAAATGGACAAATCAGCTACTGAACTCCCATTTGAGTGTTTTTTGATGAAAGGCTGTAAAAGATTGAAACGTCATTTGCTGACTTTTAGATGTGCAGTAAACTTGTTTGTTTACTGGTTGGTTTTCCACTTGGGAGAAGAAGACTGTAGCCCAAGTACCAAAACACATGACAACAAGTAACACCTCTACCTTGCCGAGATAATTGACTTTCATTATTAAATCTGTTTTATTTCACTCAATCCATTCGTCAGCTTGTTGAAAAAAAGTCAAAACACTGCAGTCTTTACAGCTGATGCCTGGCTCAGTAGACGGGCTGTCTTCTAACATGTTGTGACATGTCTCACTATATTAGCACGGTTTGCTTACCAACAAAGGCCATCAACGCATTCTGGTAGAAATGAGCGAATTCACTCAAAGTCATCTAGACAGTTCTCCCCGCTGTTTTAAATAAAAAGAATCTCTAACACTTCCTGCACTCTGCTTGGAAATGAAAAGCTTAATTAAATTTCAAATATACAGCTTACCTCATGGCTGCTGCTAGCTTGATAGAAACGAAGGAAATAGAATGTTTGTGACACTACCATTATAGCCATTGCCATGGGTGAGACAACTGTGGCTGTAATATATAGAAATGTAAATACAGCCAATGTTTATGAAGTGACAGAATAGTTAAATAATTAACTAATAATTAATACAAAATAATTAATAATCTTAATCTTTTGGCTTTGGTTTACTGCGTCTTAAAATAAGCCACAGTAACCCTATTGATGTAGCACAGTGGTACGGTCCGATAAAATGCTTGTATCAATCCGCCCACTGGAGGGCGCGTTAACCCAATGTTTCAAAGACTGCATTTTAAAAACAGCTTTAAAAAAAAAAAAAGCTTTGTCAAGATGACACATTTCCACATCAAATAAAAAAATGGACAAAAAAATAGAAATACTAACGCACCTTTATATTAAGTGTTTAATGTTGTCAAATTGCAACGCAAAGTGGTCAAAGTGGCGTCGTGCTGCCCTCTTCTGGCTGGTGGCAGAATGGCGCCGCTGCTTGTACCAAAACAAAACCACCGCAAGTGGTCCTCCCTCCTGTCACACATCCCCGAGTGTCAGAGCTGTGTTGTCCGGTGTACCAAGGACAGTGGAGCTAGTGTGTTACAAAAGAAGCGTACCGAAATACTCAGCGGCCGGCTGTTTGTCGATAAGCTTACATTTTAGATATGACTCAGCGTAACACTGTTGTCAAGGTAAGTGAGAGTCCATTCTCGCGAGCGTGGCTGGAGAGCTAATGCTAACAGCTACATCGTTGCATTATTAGTAACTGTTACTAACGCCGTTCCTGTCCTGTCATAGAAACAGTAACTGTGTCGTTAATATGGACTTGTTGACACGGTTGTGAGAGATAATTACTTATCATTTAGAGCCGTTTTTCACAGTAAAACACGACATAGTCGGTCAACTTTACACTGACATTGAGTTCGAGACGACCCCCGGCAATGTGGGATTTGACATTTTTCCATGTCTCATCCGCACTGAGGTAAACCGGGCTAATGCTAATCATTTAAGATTCAGACTAGATTAAGACATCGAGTGGAGAACAGGTTAAAGTCACCCCTGTCTTGGAGACCATCGTGAGTACCGGCGTTAGCTGTAAGATGAGATGTGCCTCATGAAGCTCGGAAGCATGCCATGCAGCGTGCCACAGACGGTCACGGAAGCTGCTCACATCACGTTTTAATAACTTTACGCAACACCATCCAAATGCACAAACTGGAGACTTTTTAATAATGTCTTTCTAGGAGGTGTCGGCTGTAACTGAACAGTACCGCGTTTCCGCGGCCAAGCTAGACATGGGCATGTCTGGTTGGTGCTATTGTTGTCTGATCAGCTAGTTATCTGAACTGACCATCTGTCACAAAGAGACCTCTCCTGTTTGACCTGCTTATTGCAAGGCAGGTCTGAGCCTGTCTGCCGGATTAACCCAGTGGTTTTCAGTGTGCATGAACAGGCATGATTTTGCTAAAGGTAAATAAAACGTGATTATGTGGCAGATGGCCCAGGCCATACTTTGCCAGTGTAATTCGATAGTAGCGCCTCAGCGTGTTGTTTTTTAATAATTTCTTGATGATACTTCATTTTGAAATTACTGATTGAATCAAATATTTAACAACGTTATAACAGATAGTGGAAGTTGCTACAAACTAATGTAGATATATCCCATGAAAATTATTCAAATTAGTTTATAGGATTTGCATACGTTGAATGTTATTATCCGTGTACTCATTAAACTTTAATGCAGTGTAAGGGCTACCTTCACTTGTTATCTAATTCCCTTAAGCTCCTCATTCTTGGAGGTCTTTGTTTTTCTGGAGTACTCTCGGCCGTTGACCCCTTTGAAATCTCTGCTTCCCTCATCTGTGTGCACATCACCCACTACAACCACAACACCACAGGAGGACAATGTCACAATGTTCATTCATTCATTGAAGCTTGTTAGGCAGGAACATTTTTGTGAAGAGGCCAGTCTGCTGACAGTCAGACGTATTAGTCAGAGAAAGATGGACCGACAGTGTCCTTAACTGACACACATACTGTACAGTCTGTGTAAGCATTCATTCATAAATTGACTCATTTCCAGGCTAATCAAAGACATTCTCTTAATTACCTTTGTGGGTTCTCTTCACATCTTCTCTCTTTCCTTACTGATGTCTAGCTATCCCCTTACCTTGTTTCTTCAGGAAGGTTCAGTGGTTATGCTATGTTTGGTTCATTGTAAAATCCTCCAGCATTGTGTGTTTAGTGTAAATTTTGACTTTGTTTCAGGACGCTTACCAGTGTTATGCAGGACAACTGGTGTGTAACAAAAGCAAAGTGTCATTTGAGGCACATTAGACAAATTATGTTTAAAATGCCAAACAAAAGCTTCCCATTATGTTATTTTTAGATTGCTATTTTGTGTAGTGACCATTTCTACATAGTGAAACGCTCCAGCTGTGTAACCGTGAGCTGATACTCATGTTAAAATGTCAGCTTGGGCAATACTGGCGTTTTACTTTTGTTTTGTTGTTGTTTGCCAATGGGCCTCTGTCAGAAATCATGGCGAACTGGTGACTTGTCAGATAGCACTGTTCAGCCAGTAAATCAGTGCGTACATAGTAGTTGATGTTGTTACTCAATCTAACTGCGGGCCTTTTGATAAAATGATAATTTTTCTGTGCCATAAACCTGCTGCTTCCCAAAGTAAAGGCTTTATTTGGTTCTGTTATTTGTTTTTTTCCATTGTCAAATATTTAATGTGTGCATTAAGCTAAACCAAAAAAAGAGCAGCGTAGTTTGGCTGCATATATCTGAGTTTGTGCATTTAATTTAAGGTTCTTGTCAGCTGGAGTTGAGTACGACAGCTGTGTCTTGAGGGCAGATGATGATCTTAATTAACATCTTTAAGAAGTGCATTGTTTGGTGTTTGAAAATGTTTGTGTTTTCTAAAATGAGGAAGTCTTTGCCCTATCTGTGGTCACACTGCTATTTAAAATGGCTTACTCGCATATCAGTTAAAGAAGTAAAACTTTGACTTCTCTGTTAACTAGTCCCACCAGACTGCATTCAGTCTGAGATGTTGGGGTGATTAATATACATTATTATCTGCTGCATCTTGTTGGTTTTTCCAGTATGACTTCCGACTTTTCTTAGAAAATCAGGTCTAACCGGAGCATGCCAGCGTTGACTGAATCTGAATAGCACAGCGATGCCTCATGTGGGAGGTGCTGACTTTTGGCTTTAAAGTTGAAAGGAAGCTGTTAACATCTGGTTGTTCACCATCATTGCTCATGCAGTCAAAATGCTGAGCAGAGGCTGCTCGTGAAGGCGATATAAGCTATGTCGCCCACTGTAGCTTAATACATTGCTGCAGTGAGTGTTGGATTTTTCCACCAGCTAGATTTAAACGCTGTGCATTTTCTTTGTGCTACTCACTAATATTCATTGATCACTTAAATTAAAAAAAATATAACTGTATTGTATTTGTGTGTGCTGTCAGCTTGCCAGCTAGTGGTGTGTGACCAGGAGGGAGAGGAAGGAGACAGCAGAGAGCATGGAGGTGTCAGATGGCTTGCTGCTGCAGGTCAGCAATGGAGAGCAGTGGTGTAACCGCTGGAAACATCCCAATGAAGACTCGGTAAGCCACAATTAATTTGTTTTCTTTTTGTTGTTGTTGTAATTTTCATTGTACATTCAGAACAGCGCCATGCATCCCCCCCAAGATCAAAGGCGATAAATCTCATATCAGCACACACGGTCCTTTCATGTGATGCTTTTGCTTCTTCCTGATCAATCTTTTTTTTATGCATTTCAAGGACCGCAGCACCAGCCCTTCAGTCCTGCGTAATGTCGCCAGCACGTGGAAGGAGGGTCTGCTGAACAGAAAGAGGCCCTTTGTGGGGCGCTGCTGTCACTCCTGTACACCACAGAGCTGGGTAAATTACATCACGGCTAATTAACTGTGGCTTGAGTTCATTTGCTGATTTCTGGTCTTTTGTAAAGAAATTGGCCAGCATGGAATCGAATAGTTCCTGCTAACTCGATCTATCCTGGCTGTTCGGAAAAACAAGCAGTCCTCTTAAAAAAATCATAATTAAAAATAATTTTAGATAAGTCATTATTATTCATATAATCTATTCAGATCTAATTTGATTATTTAATTTGCTAATTAAATGATATGTGGATCTCAGGTTGTCTTCCTGTGTTTATATGATAAAGGTGAAAATCTGAAAAGTGGTTGCAAGGCATTTTCAAGGAATGTTTTTTTTAGACATAAAGCAATTCTTAAAACACCTCATTATTGAGTTTAGTGCAGTAATATAAAAAATTAGCTGTTAAAAGGTTCAATTCTAGTTAAATTTATTTTCTTAACGAGAATTAAAGCATAACAAGCTGTAAAGTAACGCGAAACTAAACTGATTCGAGTTACTTTCTCATTTTTTATCTTTTTTGTTCCTTGCAGGAGAGACTGTTCAATCCCAGTATTCCATCTCTGGGTCTGCGAAACGTCATCTACATAAACGAGACCCACACTAGGTAAACGGAGCTTTTCACTTCCCTTCCACTTTAGGAACATTCTTCAACTGAAACTTCACGTCGTGCTTTGGCAGAACAGGAAAGTCTCTACTTGCCTTGTCAGTCCTCTGATCTCCAATCAGTCCCATTGAATGCAGTTCAGATTTAGGGTGAAATTCTTAACAACCAGTGTAAAATAACTGGATTTAAGTCAAGAGGATGACTCTCTGAAATTGTGGAAAGGTCGACAGATGAATAATTTACAGTGTTTGTCAGTGGACACCAGACACATGCACCCAGTGGCTGGCTTTTGTTGACAATACTCAGTAAGATATATGCCACCATGCTCCAAACCGAATGGGGAAAAACAGAAATAAGTTAATATCTAGTTCTATTAGCATGGAAACAGAGATGGTGATGTACCGTACTCAGCATGGTTGGGTTAGCATCGTTTGCTTTGTCCTGACACAGTCAGTATTATGTTACTTGAAAGCTCATCAAGGTATAGCAAACCTGACCTGTAACACAGCTGTTGATGATGAAGCTGTGTGTTTGGGTTATGCAGGTTATGCATTGTTCTGCAGTTCCTGGAAATGTGATATTACCATGAAAAGTCGTGCAAGTATTCCTGACTGTCCCTTATCTGGATGTTGATTCATATATTTAACTTATGTGTTTTTGTGCGAAAAGCAAGGCTCATGTTTATAACACAGCTTTCAGCATATATCTGAGTATATTTGAGAATCTCTTCTCGTATGTAAATATGTATCATTTATGTGGTTTTATGCAAGCGTTTTTCTGTGTGTGCTCATCTAGACAGCGGGGCTGGCTGGCACGCAGACTGAGTTATGTGCTTTTCGTTGTGGAGAGAGATGTCCACAAGGACATGTTCACCAGGAACGTGGTGGATAACGTACTCAACAACAGCAGGTAAAAGTCAGGATACAGGAAATTCAGCCCACATCAAACTTTATTTTCCAATCATAGATAAATTTGTGATATGGTGGACATAAAGAAACCATTTTATTAGAGAAATGGAGACAATGCGTTGAATGTTAGAAGAGGCAGCTTTATGTTTGTGTTCTTCTTTTGTTGATTGCAGGGTGGAGGATGCTATTGTGACAGTAGCAACAGACTTGGATGCTGCAGCCAGCCAGCCTGGTCAGGAGCACAAAGCTGTCAGCAAAGTAAAGCAGAAAGCCAGGGCCTTCCTCCAAGAGATGGTTGCTAACATTTCCCCAGCCTTTATTAGGTATTTATACTTTTTAGTTTATGACAATATTGTAATGCCTTAAGCAAACCTGCTATGTTGTGTTCTGTTCTACATCTTAATTTTTCTTTTGGATTAGGCTAACTGGTTGGGTGCTTTTGAGGCTGTTTAATGGCTTCTTCTGGAGCATCCAGATCCACAAAGGACAGCTGGAAATGGTGAAGAAAGCTGCTACAGAGGTGAGGGGCAAAGACACACATGATAAACTGTCTCAGCACAATCTGCTACCCAAAATGAGTAAGACTGTTTTTTCCATTAATATTGAAAACTTGTTTCTGATTGCTGAAAACGGTAACGGCTAAACCGATAAAGCTGATGTAGTATTTCATGTACATAGTCTTCTTCACTGATTGCTGTGTCTTGATTAACTAGCGAAGCAGCCTTTATTTCTGACCACTGAAGAGGCTTTATGAATGTAAATGATTGATAGTTGTAAATATACATAAACTAGCACTAAATATACACTCCACTTTATTAGGTACACCATGCTAGTACCAGGTTGGACCCCCTTTTGACTTCAGTACTGCTTTAATTCTCTGTGGCACAGATTCAGATTTTGAACAGTGTTGACATGATAACATCATGCTGCAGATTTTTTGGCTGCACATCTGAGATACAAATCTGTCGTTCCACGACTCTGCAAAGGTGCTTCATTTGATTGAGATCTGGTGACTGTTGAGGCCATTTGAGTATAGTGAACTTGCTGTCATGTTCAGGAAACCAGTTTGAGATCATTTAAGCTTTGTTACATGGCATGATATTCACACTGGAAGATGGGTACAGTGCAGCAATAAAGGGATGGGTATGATGAGTAGCAATACTCGGAGCTAGGTTCTAGTGTTTAAATGATGCTCATTTTCTACAATGGGATCTTAAGTTTGCTACGAAAATTTGCCCCACCACCACCATTAGCCCGAACAATGCAGGATGGATCCCTACCTTATGTTGTTTATGTCTGATTTTGACCTTACCATCCAAATCTTGCAGCAGTAATCAAGTGTTCAGTTCAACTCAAAGCAGTCTGCTCATTTTTCTCTGGCCTCTGACTTCACCAAGGTATTCTTACTCAAAGAACTGCTGGATGTTTTCTCCTTTACAGGAAAATCCCAGTAGATCAGCAGTGTCTGAAATACTTAGATCAGCTCATCTGGCACCAACACTCAAGCCACGTTCAAAATCACTTAAATGACCTTTCTTCCCCATTCTGATGCTCGGTTTAAACCTCAGCAGTTCATCATGGCTGTGTTTACACACCTAAATGCATTCAGTTCCTGGGCAGTTATTGGGATTGGCTGATTAGACTTGTGAGTTAACAAGCAGTTGAACAAGTGTACCTAATAAACTGGCTGTTTAGCTGAGTGTTTATTTTCTTGCTTGTAATATTTACAAGGTGTTTTCTGTCATTGTACATTTCTTGTAGATAATAAAAGTTCTCAACATTGATCACATACAGAGTTCTTAAAAACGTGTTAGGAGAAATTGCTTATTTCTCTTTTCTTTGCAGCAAAATGTGCCGATGGTCTTCCTCCCAGTTCACAAATCCCACATCGACTACCTGCTCATCACGTTGATTCTGTTCTGTCATAACATCAAAGCCCCGCACATCGCTGCTGGAAACAACTTAAGCATCCCCATCCTCAGGTAAACATAAGGCCTTGTGTGAAGATTGATCTGGAAATAAGGTGTATGTTTAACTCAAACAATAAAGAATTCCCTGGAAATATGTTCGATAGTTAAATCTTTTTTTTTATCCTGCTTCAACTAGCATTTGGTTCAGCACTGATCCTTTTGTACTACATGGGTATTTACAACATGGGTCCCTGAAGTGTCAGGATGAGTCATCTTTATATTTTAAGTGCTTCGGTATCAAACTGTCCTCCTTTTTCATCATAGTCACACCTTAATCCAAATTAGTACCTTGAGGAAATCACTGATTAAAACTGTATTTGCTGACAGCTGTGGAGTTTGTGCTCGCTGTTGCTGCCCATTGAAAAGCTTGGAAACTACTTTATAAAACTTCTTTGTTTTCAGCACCCTGATCCGTAAACTTGGAGGTTTCTTCATACGACGAAGAATGGAAGAGTCTGCAGATGGAAAGAAAGACATTTTGTACCGATCTCTTTTGCACGCAGTAAGTCTGCAGAGCGGGTTTTCTTCATGTTTTCTGCTCTGTGTGTTCTTTTCTATTGAATAATGAGAGAGTGAAATGTTTTTGTTATTTAAGCCTTGTCTTTGTTTCCAGTTTTACTTTGTAATTAGCATTATATCTTCCAAAGAACTTATTTTGACTCTGCTACAGTCCTGTCATTTGTAAGCCCAAACTAAATGTTTGGGTAGATATGCTCCTTTCCTTTATTGTAGTGACCCATGTGTCAACAGTTTTGCTCTCTAAACATATTGGGTCGGCTTATACGTCATCTAACCTTTTATTTACCAGTTGTAACCCAGTATTGGTCATTATAGGTTTTTCTGTATCACATGACGAGTAGATGTTCAGGCTTGTGTTGCAGATTCATAGGTTTTTGTTAGTGTTTCGCCATCATAAACTACTTGGAAGATTTTCAGTGTGTTTTCTACAAAGTAGCATGGAAACTTAGGTGGTTTATTTAATTGCATGGGTTGATCTGAGTGGCAGATTTTCTTTGTATCTTCAGAAGGGGTTGGCAATAAGTAACAGTGTATTGTGCTTGTAAGATAGGTTCGTATTGTGTCCTTAAGATAAGAATTATCAGCCCAAGACATGAGCAGCTAGTAGAAATGATGAGCTGAAATTCAATCCTGTTATACAAACCATATTTTACCTCTTTTTCTTAAGATAAGATAAGATAACCTTTATTAGTCCCACACGTGGGAAATTTGTTTTGTCACAGCAGGAAGTGGACAGTGCAAAAGTTATGAAGCAAAAATTAGAATACAATAAGAATAAATACAGTACACAACTGTACAGAATAGAACACAATAAAATACTATATACAGTAGAATAAAATAGAATAAAATATACAATAGAATAAAAATAAAATACAAATGCTGTATACAACTGAGTAAAAATACAACGACGCCAGAAAAGAGTATTGCACTTAGTGTTATTGCACATGTCAAAGAGTGCACAAGTTGCAGCTGTAATGATTGAAAGTGGTCAAAGTAATTTAATTTGCTAAAAAGTGAGATTTTAATCTGGCACGCATGTGTCACTTGCCAGAATGGAATTAGCTTTCACAGGCAAGCTGTAGAAAAAGGTCACATGCTGCTCTAACTCCAGTTGCTCCCATGAAAACTGAACCTAGACGTCCCGGCTTACTTTGAATGCCACGGCCTGGAGTTTATTTCAGGACAAAGCTTCTATTCTCAAAAGTGTCTGCATAGCTAAGACAGCTGTGTACACACTGTACTCAGGAGGATATCATTATACAGCAAAGCTACCTCAGCATGCACCCGATTTCCTACACTTTGAGTCTCATGTTTAACCTGCATACTACAGCACTGGCATGGCCTTGACTTTACTTGACTGTCAGCTTGTAATTAAGTGAATTTCCTGCTTCGGGACGTCAGCAAATTACATTTTCACCAAAAATACTGCGACCTTTACATGTATTATTTTCTCATTTGTCTGACACACACCTTTTCTGTATTCACCTGATCATTTCCCTGTTTCGTCATTGTCGTAGTACACAGAGGAATTGTTGCGGCAGCAGCAGTTTTTGGAGGTCTTTCTGGAGGGGACTCGGTCGCGCAGTGGTAAGCCATCTCCAGCACGTGCAGGCATGCTGTCTATCGTGGTTGACACAATGTGCACGGGGGCCATCGGAGACGTGCTGGTGGTGCCAGTTGGCATCTCCTATGACCGCATTATTGAGGGAAACTACAATAGTGAGCAGCTGGTGAGTGTCTGGATGACGTCGGTGGCAACAAAGGTGTTTTTGTTTTTTGTTTTTTAATCATGCACAGAAAAAGAAAAATACACAGAAAAATAAATTAGTTGGATTTTGAATTTGTGACTGAAAAAAATGTATGTATTTCTGGTGGTAGAGCCAAGCATGTTTTGACACAAACTGCTTCAGCTGTGTCCTTATAGCTATATTTTTGGTAACTTTCAAATCTGTCTTGTTCTAGGGCAAGCCGAAGAAGAACGAAAGCTGGTGGGGAATAGCATGTGGTGTGTTCAGGATGTTGAGGAAGAACTACGGTTGTGTCCGTGTTGATTTCAACCAGCCCTTCTCCCTGAAGGTGATTAATCACACTAAAAAGAGCTGAAAACCTTCCATGTTTGTTTTTTATATTGAATATGTATTTATGAATACGTATGTCACATTTATGTCAATTATAGGAATACTTGGACACCCAGAGAAGCCGTCATAGTCCACCACCTGTATCTCTGGAACATGCTTTGATGCCCACCATTATTTCTGCAGAGTTAGTACAAATATACACACACGCTCACTCCATAGTCTCACATGTCATGACCTTCCTGGACAATCTTCATGTCCAAGCTCTATACCTCCCTCCTGCTACTTCATGGCAGGCTCTGTGACATTTGAGAACGGGTCGTTAGTTAGCCCTGGCAGGGGTCAGATCAGTTCAAAGCTGTCTCTTCATAGTAAAAACGAGCGATAAAGCACTGTCGCTGGGATGACTGCAGTCTGCCCCAGCTGGTCTACAGTCAGTTTCAAAACTTGTGCCAACAGTGGTGATTAACAACCTTCTCATCTCTTTGGAGACAAATATTATGGAAGACTCTTTTCAACACTCGCGTGAAATAGTGGCATATCACGTTTTGCTAATGGCACGGATGGATGAGACATGCAATGACTTTGGCAAAAGCCAGGAAGTAAATGAGTAAGATAACCACCCTGAGATCACGTTAGATAAATGATGACAAATAATTGGTAAGCTATTAACTTGAGATCTTGAACTTGAGTACTTTTTAACGGCAGGGGCAGATTGTTTGTAGAGAAGTCAGACACAGGGCACTCTCATGCCACTTTGTTCCTCTTTTGTCTATTTATTCGTCTATGTTTATTTGGGTTTTAAATACTGTATCCCCGTGTAGTGGTTGTATATTCTAATGTGTATTACATTTTACAGTACCCAATATTATTATATTCTAACATTATTGGGGGTTACACTGCAAGCTCCCAAAAATAGGAGTGAAAGATGAGCTGGTGTGTGTTTGGACATGACAACTGCCATCTTAAATTATACATACTGTGTGTGACACAGTAAAAAACACATTGGCTTGTTGTTATTATCCTTCCAGGCCTGATGCTCAGCTGTTTGATGGACAGGAGGAAGAGCAGGTGAACAGAGAGCTGCCCGAGGACATCTCTAGACGACAGCTTATCAACAACCTGGCCAAGCACGTTCTCTTTAGTAAGAAAATCACAACCCGCAGATGGTGGGTTTACTACATGCACGATGACTAGGAATCATAATTTAAAGTCTTCAGTAAGCACCGGTCCCTTAAATAAGCACATAAGTCTCCTTTTCATCCTGTGCTAAAGGTGCACCTGCTCACAAAGGCAGCACTCATGAAATACAGCACAGCATCAGTCCATCCGCTTTACATCACTCGGGGTGTTTTGCCCTGGGATAGCACTCCAGAAACCGGTTCTCCCCAGCTCATTCAGCTGCATTCTCCTACACTAGCTTTTTTTTTTTTTTTAAACCAACAGCCTATCACAGAACCACCAGCTGGATGGCATGTTGTTTTTAGCCAATAAGGTGAAGGGGAGGATGGAAGCACAGGGGAGGGGGAAGAATGCAGTACCAGCTTAGCTGTTCATAAATGTCCTGCACCTCTATGCTTGATTACTACTTTAGGTGATCTGTAGTAACCCTTGTCTTTACACACTCCCTCACATACTCTTTCTTTCTGCCTTTGAGTGCTATCAATATAATCAGCTCTTTTAGGCCTATTTAATATTTTATTTGTAGTAAGTCAAACTCTGATGAATTAATTAAAATTATATATAACAAAACACAGGTATATAGCTTTTTTACATCCTTTCTCCCCAGCCTATTAAATCAGACAGCCACCCACCTTGAGTTGGGTTCTGTCTGAGGCTTCTTTATGTTAAGACTTTTTTTTTTTTTTTTTTTTTGTCCACACTTAATCACGCTCAAGGTTGAATCGTCTCTGTAATACTCTGTAAACTTTCCTGACTTGATATCTGCTATGATTGGATGCTATACATATATACACATATAAAAAGGAACTGAACACAGCTTAGTTTGGGGCTTACAGCACTGTAGTCTTGCTTTAAGGGTGTCTCAATGAATTACAAGTACTTCTGCTTTTTTTGTTCTCTTTCTGTTGTGTGTTGCTTATTATACCCTTTTGTATCTCCTCCTCATAGCGGCCAATAAATCGTCAGCAATCATGTCGACCCACATTGTGGCCTGTCTACTGCTGTATAGACACAGACAGGTATGTGTAGCTGTTGCCTCCTCTCTCCTCGTGTTCTGTCACTGCCAGATACACCAGCTCACATTTTTTAAAATCCTGCTATTATTACCCCGTCTGGTATGTTTGTTTTTTTTCCCCTTGTTCCTCTTCCGTTTAGCAGGTATGCACCTTCCTGGGCATGACACTTAAGTCATAAATATAGGAATAGATAACTCTGTTAGAAAATCGTATTTCTTCCTGCATTCTCTTTCATCGCCTCTTGCATTAATTGTGAGACTCTGACCTCTACAGACACACTAATGTCATGACAACTGCTCAGTGCTGCATACAACCCCAAAAGCCCTTTTGTAGTTTTTTTCTTTGTTTCTCGACTTTTATTATTTTGAAGTGGGCTTATTAAAATTCACCAATATACTTTTTTTTTTTTTTTTTAAGTTTCTGATGTTGTTGTTGTTGTTTTTTCCTGCTCATTTTGTGTCAGGGGGTGGTGTTGTCCAAGCTAGTGGAAGACTTCTTCAACATGAAGGAGGAGATCCTGTCACGAGACTTTGACTTGGGCTTTTCGGGGAACTCAGAGGACGTGGTCATGCGTGCTCTCCACCTCCTGGGGAACTGCCTCAATGTGACCAGCAGTTCTAATCGCAATGGAGAGTTTACCATCGCACCTAGTCAAACTGTACCTGCGCTTTTTGAGCTCAACTTCTACAGCAACGGCCTTTTCCATGTATTCATTTCTGATGCAATCATTGGTAAGTTATGCCAACAGTATTATGTGCTGTTTTGGTTCATCATTGTGGTTATTATTTAAGAAAAATATACTGAACATGTAAGCTTGAATAATACATTTTTTTTTAAAATAGTTAGTTTAAATTGCTGTTTGAAGTTAAACAAGTGACAGTAGATCTAAGTTCAGCAGTCCTAAACACACAGGTTTTCCTGTACCTCTCCAGCCTGTAGTGTCCTGTCGCTGCAGCGAGAGCTGGTCATGGAATCAGAGTCTGCTCGCCAGCCTGGCAATCCCAGTAGTCATCTTCTAAGTCAAGAGAGACTCATCCGCAAGGCCGCTGGTCTCTCCCACTTCCTTATCAATGAGGTGGCTGTAGCACCAGTAAGTCCTGCATATTCCATCTTTATCACTCCAAATGTCTGCGCACATTTTACATACGCGTCTATGATATTATGACTACTGCTGTCATCCACCTCGTGTCCACTGCCTCATTTCTTCAGCAGTGGACATGTTTACAATCAGAGTCCTTTTATATATGCCAGACATTGTTTTGCGCAATTGTGACAAGATAATTAATCTTGACTTCATCTCTGTGTGGTTATAGTCTCATTGATCATCTGAATATAAGACATTCCTGTCACCGTAATTAGTAACTCTAACCTAGGCTCTAAATGAAGATTATTTACAATGTTTGCATATTAGTTTACACTAGTAATGATGGAACAAGTTTGTTGACAAGTAGTTGTTTATAAAATTACATTTTCAACTCCTATGTGGTTTCATGTTTTAGCGTGTCTACATCTCTCCTGTCTGTCCCACAGCCTTGCCAGACTATTTACCAGGTTTTCCATGACACAGTAACCAGGCTGATCCAGTATGGAGTTCTTTATGTGGCAGAGGTGAGTTTACAGGCCGTCAGCCGCTGGACAAAAATAACAGATCATGGCGGTTAATGTCAGAAGTTGAATGTTTTAGGAAGGACTCTTAGCGATAGTTGCTATTGGGTAATGAAACTTTCAGATCCTCTGATCTGTTTTTGTGCGTCAGGAGGACCAGGAGGAACTGAGCCCAAGCCCCACAGATGAGCCGTGGCCCAAAAAGTTTGCTGAGCCCCTTTCCTGGAGGAGTGACGAAGAGGATGAGGACAGCGATTTTGGAGAGGAGCAGAGAGATCGCTACCTTAAGGTATACTTAGACCATTTGGAATTTTGCAGCCAACACAATCGCCACAGCATTCACATCCAAACATCCACTGTTCACCATCAAAAATGACTTTATTTGACTTTTGGTCTGTTTGTGTTGTCTTTCAGGTGAGTGTTTCTGCAGAGCACCAGGAGTTCTTTGTCTTCCTTCAGCGGCTGCTCAGCCCGGTGCTGGAGGCCTACAGCGGGGCTGCGATCTTCGTCCACAGTCTGAGCCAGCCCATGGTCGAGTCCGACTACACCCAGAGGCTCTTCAGATACCTGCTCACACGCACAGAAAGAGGAGTGGCTGGTTATGGTAATATCCTAATATCGCCCACATACTGCACAATGTATTTAAAAAATAATTTAAAACTTCTCTAGTGTTACATCGCACTTGGAATTGAGAAAATTGCTAAAAATGAGAAAATGGTTTTTCCAGTCATGATTTTTTTTTTAGGTGCTGGGAATAAAGTCCAAAAGTATAAGTAGTATTCACATGAAAAATAAGAAATTACTATCAGATTAAAGAAGGATTTAGCTAGTGAAAATTTTTAAAAGTAAGATCCTGTCTCTGTTTTATGTATTTCAAGCACTTCTCTTTTCATTCAGGTGAAAGTGCAACTCATTATCTGGTTAAGAACACCGTGAGGACTTTCAAGGAGCTCGGGGTAAGCATGTGTGCATTTTTATGTGTGTATTTGGGTGATGTGCAGAGTCATCCAGCTAAACCTCCTGTTTTCTGTTTATTCTCCAGGTCCTAAAGGAGAGGAGAGAAAACAAGGTGACAACTCTGGAGCTAAGCAGCACCTTTCTACCTCAGGAAAATCGGAACAAACTCCTGCAGTACATCTTAGGTTTCACTCTGCTGTGACCGCGACGCGCGTCACCCAGCTCGGACCCCAGGCTCCTTCCAATAAAGGGCTTCTACTGGTTACTTCTAAACAGTCCCAGGTGCTACTCTGTGGAAAGCTTTACCAGGAAGTGCCTTCACGTAAAAGCAGCTAACTATCAGCTGTAGTCGGAAGAGACTTGAAGCCAGTCTTCCCTTTCTTCTTCTTTTTTTTTTTTTCTTTTTGTTTCAGTCTCTGACTTCCTGTGTTAGAACCGCGCAGTTGATTTAACATGTGTATTGAAGGGGTCCCTCTAGGAATCGTTCGTTTGCAGGAGAAGTCAAAAGGTTTTAATATGGGAAAAAAAAATTTAACCGTGCAGTCTGAACAAAGCAAAGCTGCCTTTTGTCTATACAAGTGAACAAGTAAAATATGCATATAAAATAACTGTAAACATAACCAACAACAGAGGCATTTTTATGTTAACTCTTTGTGCTTGTTTATAAAGTTGCCGTATTCTCTCCAGTGCACTCTAATATCTTACAGTTTAAAATGTGTTGCCTGTACATAGAACGTAGAACAACTTCATTTATAGTGCACTGAAATGATTACACTCTGGTGTAATTAAAGAGAAGAGTTCGCTGTACTCAGAGAGATACAGTGCACCTGCAAATTGTGTACATATCCAAGGTTTCAGTGGCAAAATGTATGAATTTAAATCTCCATACGGTGAAGGTCAGTTATTTCTAGTTGCTGTTTTTTTTTTTTTAGATAAAAACAATCAGTGTGCAGTTTGGCCCATGAACAATATTTACTTAGCGAATGCAATATGTACCTGTTGAAAGTCTGGCGTAGTCAAGGCCTAAAACAATGTCCACCTACAGTTAAGTGCATTCAAACCACTAATATCTAAGTGCATTCACTTAAACTTTTCATATGAAAAGTGACTTTGATCTCTTTTCTTTTTGCAGAACACCTCACTTTTCGATGAATGTTACACAGCACAGCACTTAAAGTAATGAATACCAGCCATCACACCCACTTTTATTCTAATAACAACACGCTCAGACACTCTGTGACATGCCTTTCAGGGAAAGCAGATATTTGGGATTACCACCTCCTTTTTTTTTTCTTCTTCTATCATAAACACGCTGTATAGCCTTTATAGCATTGCTGCTGAAAGAGCAATAGTTGGGCATTTGTGAGTTGAAATTGCTGCATAGTGTGGTAAAATAGTGCAGTTCTTTTGAACAGTTGGCTAATTATGAGTGCAGTATAGTGTTCTCTTTACAGACCTCTGTAAGGTCAAAAACAAACAGGAAACAGAAAAAAATGCAGTCATCCAAAACCTCCGGGTTAAATTCTTCTTCTTTCATGTTAGATATAGCAATGGAATTTTAAATTCCATCATTAGTTACATTCTTTAATAAAATCAATCTTACACTGACTTAAATTATGATAGAGTTTACTCTAGTAACTAGATATTACCTATTCTTCTTATTATTATTATTGTTATAGTTGCATTTACACATTTAAGTGTTTCAGTGTTGGAATCAAAAAGTCAGATTATGCCTGACTGTGAAATTTTAAAAACATGAACAAAAAGCAGAGTGGCTGAAGTTAAAGTACGATGGTGAAACAACACAGCATTGTGCATTTGGCTGTGAGTTTCTAATTATGTTGTAAAGTAACTTGATAACACAAAGTCGATCAAGTCAATATTTAGTGTGTCTTTCAGTTTCAGTTTGCAGTGAACATGAATATAAACGTACACCGCTCCTCTTCTTGATGGCAAGAAAAAGAGGAAGCAGCAAGTTTGAAAGGAAGCGTAATGAATTGCCATCATTATTGAATGATCGTGAGGACATTGTTGATGCGTCAGGGCAATACAAGAATTGGGTCCTTTAAATAAATATTTCTATTGGGAAATACGTGTGATAGTTCAACACTTCTTGTTACAGGTCATTGTAATGTTTATTTTTCATATTTTTCTAAACTTGTAAATGAAAAAAAGTTACATATTGGTGAAAGACACCTAAAGCATGTGGAAGAACAGAAGAGTATGTTACTGCAACAAGAATGTGCTCTGAGAGTGTCACGAGCTTTCTAGCATTTCTGAGCCCTCGGTCTGTACAAGTCTCCTCACCAGGGGACCCATCTGCCATGATACGTACTGTACTGCATGTTTCCTCTGGTCGCCTTTAATCATCGGCACTTCAATGTGAACTCTGCTCAACCTGATAATAATGGTCTTTTACAGCCTTACCGCTGTGTATGTCGTGTAAGTTGTGTTGATGAAAGCGAGCTGTATGTGTAGAAGATTAATTGTGTTACCTCTTGAATGTTATCTAAAAAGGTCATTGTGGTATTGTCGAATACTCGATGGACGTGGTACAGATTTATAGTTTTTAATGAACTGCTTGTGGGATACTGAAGCTGCATTAACCACATCCCACTACTCTGTATAACGTAGGATAAATGCCTGTATCTGGGAAGCAGGTGCCTTTTTAATGCACTGTAGTATTCTTTTCTTGTTTGTTTTTCTTGTTTTTTTTTTTTTGTGCATGTTAATAATTTTGGGAATCCAAAAGAACACTGTAGATGGTAACTTGGAAAAAAAAATTCACAAGTTGAGAGAACATGTTAGGATCACCAGCTACTAAAAATATGTCACTTTTCTTTTTGCTTTATCAAAGCAAAGCACAATTGGCATTGTTAGATTTAGTTTTTAAATAAATTAATGATAGATTAGTGATGGTGTTGCCTTTTTATTTCTTCTATTATATCTAAAAAGCATTTTGTGATTATTTTTCTGGTGTGTGAAAGGGGTAAAAGGTTATTATAGTTAACTAATGCTTAAATAAAAGTGAGTTAGGAATGGTAACTGCAATGAAAAATTAAATAAGAATAAACTATAGTCATGTTAAAGAGAGAATACACCATATTTCAGTTTCAAAGTTCAACAGGTCAATTATTTAAATACAACCTCAGATGAACAACAGCGTGAATTATTACACTGTGCATGAAACACTAAGTACATCCCATCACTCAGTAGCTTGTAGAACAAACTGTTATTACCAGGACAGATTTTAAAAAGCTGACTATATTCAGTACATACGGGAACATAAACCCAAAGATAAACAAGCAGACACAGTGCTTCTAACAGTAGCTTCTGACATGACAATTTCTCTCTGCAAAACATTAATATCTTTCAGTTTTCTGTAGTATTTGGAGTGAAAATAACTCCCAGTATGTCCAAAAGAAGTAAAAGGTGATCAAATGATGCAAACACATTATTAGCACATTAGAGCTAATTTTGTTTATTTATTTCTAAAGAGATCAAACTGCTAAATAAATAAATACATTAAATTCTCTGGTTGCAGATCTGGTAATGTGGCAACTTTTGATGCATCTGTCTGTTTGTACAGACATCATTATGTGTCAGGCTGAGGAAGGAGGGAGGCTTGCTTTGTTAGGCCCATGGGAGGCTGTGAGGAGGATATATAGTGGATCGAGACCATGCGAAGCCTTAGTGGCAATGAGGACCAAACAGAGGCGACAGGTGTGCGTTCTTCTACCGAACAAGCAGCACCTGGATTGTGCTGTCACGGTGAGTGACCACAGGGCCTTTCTGTAGCATATTTTCTTGTTTGGTATTTTACTGTGACACGTCACATGGGCACACAGAAACCTAAATTACATTCATGTTAAGATTGCATTGATCTGTCAGTAGGGTATATTTATTTTTAAAACAGTGGAAGAGCTAAAACTGTATTTTATTAGAAAAAAACATATTTGCAAGAAAGCCAAAACACTGAAAGCATGGACTCTCAGTATGTTTTATGTTTTCTTTCTTCTTCCTGTGTGTTTATAGGTAAAAGCCAGAGGCCGTGAGGTGTTGAACAGTGTGTTGAAGCATCTTGGTGTCAGTGATCTCCAAGTGTTTGGTCTAGCTGTTATGAAAGGTCAGTTAGTTTCTGCGCGGGAGTTCAGGAGCAAATGTTTTTTATTCATTAACTGTGGAACGCTGAGATTCTGGGAGGCTGCTCATAGTGAGTGAACCTGCTGTAAGATATGATAAATGGAAAGCCATCTCCTATCAGCCGTAAACAACATAACTGAGGGATAACACGTGTTAAATGGACTCATTGTGTTGATTTCATGCAGCGCTGTCAGACATATGGTTTGCAGGACAAATATGGCCAAAACTGAGTTACTTTACTTGAGCGTGCAAGTTATGTCGAATTTTTTCTTCCTATTTTTCCACTCTTTCCTGTGCAGCATGAAGTGTTGTGTCAGGAGCTAACCTACCTCAACTGTTAATTTTGCCGCCCTACCGAGAAGTGTGAAATATGGTCAGTTTCATGGCTGTTCATAGATGTGGTTCTTTGATTAAGACAGTTGCAGTTCTTTTTAATGACAGCAGATTTATTGAATGTGGAAAAACTGAGACATGTTGTTCAAATTGCGCTCACTATCTAAGACACACCAGCTAGTTTGTGATCCCATAAGTGTGAATGTTTTAAAAATGTATTTGTTCTTCTTCAGAGCAAACGCAATGGAAATAAAAGGCCTTTGTACTGCTAGGTTGTTAGTCAATACTTTTACTTTTCTGGGCCACATGGTCTGAAACTGAGCTGTATGTAGACCCTAAACTGAGCCTGACATCTCTGATTGAATGTGTGCTTTTTTTTCTCCTTTTTTTAAGATAATGATTACCTGTTTCTTGATTTGGACCAAAAGCTGAGCAAGTACTTTGGGAAACGATGGAACAAAGGATCTTTAATGGTTAGTTTTCCATTTCTTTTTTTGATGAACAGAAATCACCAGATCTACAAACAGCCCCATGCTGTAATGGGAACACTCTAAAAGCTGAATTTAGTGATCTCACTTAAAATTTCATGTTTTCCTGGCAGTCATGATGATTTGCATATCAATGATCTCAAGTAGATCTTGTGGCTCATTGTTATGCACTGGTGCTGATTTCAGTAGTTGTGCAACTTTGCTGTTTACAAGACTGGGGAAACCTGCAACAGATAAGACTGAAGGCGTTGCTTGTATGAGTACTAAGATGTTTCTCCCAGTGAAAACACTGTATCCAGATAAAGTCCACCAATGGACGACTAACATGTCAAACATGTTAGAAAGATCTGACTTATTTTAAAAGTTCTTTTATGTCCACGTTTTCTTTTTCTTTTTTTAATGATTTATCATATTGGTCAAATATTAACTAGACTGTGTGATAGCAGAAACGATAAACTGAGTACTCTCTTTACTCATCCCACCTTTCCAGGTCCCGTTTATCTTATTTCTAAGAGTCCAGTATTATGTAGAAAGTGGGCTGCTAATTTTGTAAGTTTGTTTTCCATTACCTTCTTTTTCCAAGATTAATAATTTCCACTATAAGTGTTGTTGAAGTTTATGAAAATGTTTGTGGAAAAGTAGACACCTGACAGACTTCATAACAGGAAAAGAAAACCTCCCTGTTTCTTGCAGGAGCACCACAGTGCAGCAGCTCTACTACACTGAGCTGAGGCAGAAGGTGCTGCGTTCACAGAGCCACCATCAGGAGGCTTTGTTCTTCCAGCTGGCAGCCTCTGCCCTCCAAGCTGACGTTGGCGATCTGGCACAGGGAGAGGAGACTGAGGAGGACGGAGAAGAGAAGAAGCAGGAGAAAAAACACAGATGCTACTTTCTCCCTGAAGATTACTTCCCCTCATGGGTAAAAAAAAAAGAAAGAAAAAGAAGTGTAGTCTAACCTTGACAGAAATACTCTTATATATATATCTGTGTGTTCATCTTCTCAGCTCATAAAGCGCAGAGGGAGAGAGTACTTACTTCAGCACAGCCCAGTGCTGCATGGTGAGCTGAGGGGGGTGTCCCGCAGGCAAGCCATCCTGCACTTTATAAAGGAAGCCAACGAGCTGCAGGATGGACCTGTCACATTCTACAGGATGAGAGAGGTCAGACAGTGTTACAGTTAAACAAGGGCGAACTCTGTGTGAGGATGTCTGTTTCTTAATTAGTTTAAGAGAGACTAACTAAGAAACTTCTGTCCTGAGATGTTGAATATGGAGCTACCAGGCAGTTAAAAGGAAAAGGAAAAGAGGTCACATATATCAGACACTCCATAAACGCGTACATTTCAGAAAATCTTCAGAAAAATATCCTACAGGGTGTGAAAACTGTTACAGATCTCGTAAAAAGCCCCAGTAATAATTCTTTGGCATGCTCTTGCATTATTTGTCTCCCTTGGTCATTTTAGAGAACTCTTTTTGAGTCATGTTTGTTATGTGAGCCCATGGCTTTAAAAAACAACAACAAAAAAACTGCTTTATCAACTATTATTTTACACACAGGAGGACAAACAGCCGAGGAGTTTAATCCTCCTCGGTGTGACAGTGAAAGGAGTCCATATTTGCCAGGTGAGTCGTTTTCAATGACAGTCTCACACATAATTTTAAATAAAGTTTATGAACTTATTTTCACATGTACATATAGATTCTTGATCTGAATTTGTGTTTTTAAGGAGGTGGAAGGGAAACAATCTTTGTTGTACGATTTCTCCTGGACAGGTATTGATCGCTTTACCTTTCAGGTTAGGTTCTAAAGACTGGACTATAATCAAAATATACATACAATACAGGTCACATTGACCTGCGTGTAGCTTTAACCGTAACACACGAGATCATCCTCTTTATGTATGGCTCTTACTTTTCAGGGCAACAGGTTTGAAATCACTGCTGTGGGCTCTTTGTGCCTTCCTAAACTGGTTTATTACACTAAATCAGCTTTCCACTCTAAACACATCCTGAGGCACCTCCGTGACAGTCACCAACTCCACATGAACATCAGAGATGCAGTCAGTTCCATCCAACAGCTGGAAAACATGGGTAGTACGTAAGGCTTTACTTTACCACAACCTATCTAAGACACGACTGAGTCAGTTGTCTTGGTCTGAAACCAATATCATGTAATAATAATAACAATAAGTCTTTTAAGTGATTTTAAAAGATTTGAGATCACAGTCTCTTACACAGTCACACTCCAAAGGTGTTCTCTTTTCTGTCTATCTTCAGCCAAAGAAGCCTACATCTGCGACACAGCGTGCCTAAGAAAGAGTCTCCAGTGCAGCAACCTCACATCTTCAATGTCCGACTGCAGTGATGCTCTGGAAACAGCTACTGCCTGGTTTAAAGAGGAAAAGGAAGAGGACGGAGGCTCTACAACAGGTCTGCTATTGGGAGGAAATGATTGTGTAGATGGTGCAACATTTGCCTCTCAAACAAATTGTGCATTTATGTTTGGAAACTGGTAAAAACACGTTTAATTCTACCCAGCAATGGTTTACAGCAGTAGGTCTGCAGACCTAATTAAGGAAGAAAACAGCTGATGTTGCTGAAGTGACCAAGAGGGAAAGTTTAAAAGCTCATTAGGCAAATGAACGCAGAACTACTTTCTTAACTTACCTGTTGTACTTTTGCCTTGAACTCAAAATCAGTTGTTTGTTTATACTGATGCCAGGGTCTGAGCTGTGGTTGGACGAATCAGAGGAGTTGTTTGTTGATGATCCAGCTGAGGTGTCCTGGCTGGCTGAGCTGCTCCGTGGTGTGTCTGTTGACGCTCCTTTGATGTTACCCTCTTTTTGCTGGGCAGGTTAGTCCAAAAACCACTAAGACCATTCTAAAATAACAGTTGAATCATGTGTTAGTTCTGTGTAGCATGTGATATTGTGTCCTCTTTTATCAGCTGTCACCATGGAAATGAAACAGGTGAGCAAACTGCAGGTCTGTCTGTTTGAACATTTCCAGCACGATCCTGCATCAAAGCCAACATCTTTCTCTGTGATCTTCAGGTTCTGTGGAAAAAAACGGATGAAGGGATATCTGTGGACTAATTGAGATTCAGAGGATGCAGGGATTCATCACCCGTTCTTCATCTCAAGACAAGGAGACACCTGTTGGAGTTTGTTGTTATGGAGCTAAAATGCTGAAAGGATACAGCTGAGCGTTATATTTTGTTTGCTTAGAGGAAACCTCATTAAATGTGCTAAAACAGAAGCCATATAGTGACCTGAGTAGTTATAACTTGCTTTAAACTATACAGCCTAAAGTTGCAGTAATTACACTTCAGAAATCGAAAGAGGTATAATAGTGTTTTAATACATATTTACAAACTAAACGTATTAAAATATCAATAACATAATAAATACAACACTTGGGACATTTTTGTCATTCTTTGAACAGTGCTATTACAATCAGTGCTGACTTCTGTTCATTTGCCATTATTAATGTTACCATTAAAAAATTGTTCTGTTTTATGATTCAGGTGAAATTATGTTGTCAGGCTTCCACAGTGTGGCAGTATTTCCAAACAATCAGAGTCCATGCCATCATGTGAGAGGTCTAAGATGCTGTGTTAAGGGTGCACTCTCCCCTGGGGGTGTGGGTTCAAGGCACACTCCTGTTGTTGCGTTAAACCAAACATATATAAATGAGCTTTTCTGAAAATAAAGTAAAGATCTGTGTACAATATGAGAAGGTTGGTAGCAAAATCGGAGAGCAATGCACTGTGTAGGACACATGGAAGTACAGTGCCGAGGACTAATCTCCTTCAAAAACACAATGATAAAACCCTAATACTAAGCACTCAGAAGATTGCTTCACTGTCAGTGTTGACAGCTCTGCACATTAGCTGCTGTGTGAATCCTGTCTAGGGTTCTCCTTGGCTCTCTGTTCAAAGGGGCTCTCATGCTCTGGGGGGCCTCTGGATATTTGGGGCCCAGGTCTCCTCCATGCCTGCTTCATGTCTTTGGGAGCAGGCTGTGGCTCCCCACACCTACCTGTTAAATAGTTAAATTGAGTAACCTAATGAACACAAGTGTGCTCACACACACAAGTGTACAAACAGGTACCCACAGACACACTATCTTGGTCGGCTGCTGCCTCTAAACATGTATCATTAATACTGTGTGCTGCTCAGTGTTTTTTCTCTCTCTTCTTTTCTATTTTTATCTCCCTCTTCTTCTGTTAACTTTCTCCTCAACTCCACTCCCCTCTTTCTTTCTTCTCCCCTGTTCCCTCCATCTTGTCTGATCTGAGTCTACTAACTCAAAATAAAAAAAAATCCTAATCAAATTCTAATAAAATATGACTATAAAGTGGACCACTATAACAAAAGCCGTAATGGTCCACTCGGCAAATCTGTTGGGCCTTTTGTTTTGCCTTCTGACAATATTTCTGATTGCTACATTGAAAAAAAGAAAAAAAGACAACAAAAATACTATATCAGCATTTTACCATTAAAATATATTTTAATCACTTATTAAAACTAGAGTGTTTTAGTTTGCTTTCATCCAAAGCATCTTACAGTGTTATGCAGAATTTCATTTGATGAGATCACATTGTGTGGCTTCCAAAATCTGTGTGTAAACCCTCTGTGGTGTGGGTTTCATGGTGTAATGATTAGCACTCTGGACTTTGAATCGAGTGATCTGAGTTCAAATCTCTGTGGGACCTCATGCATGTTATTTATTAACTTTCCTTTCCTTCTTCACATCACCTGCTACATGTTCAGTGGCAGTTGATTCATTTAGGTGGTGAGAGGATCCACTTGTTATTACCATAAAACGTCCAATGACAGTTGTATTCTAGTCCTGAGCTAGTATTCACTGACAGCAGTTGTATAGAGGTATTTTAGCATGAGTATGAGTATTACATGTCATTCAAACACTTACTGTCATAAAATAAAACAGTTTCCTCTACAATATCTTGAACAAAGGTAACATCTTCACTAGCTGTTGGCTGTTACCTTCTCGACTTAAGCTGTTTTGTGAATTGTTCAGTCTTTGGCGTAAGCTCATTCGAATGCTTTTTTTTTTGTTTAGTTAGGATGGCCAAGTGTTCTAAGGCACTGTGTTAAAGTTGGAGTTCAAATCCAACTCCTGACAGTTGGATTTTATCTTCGATAAAGAAAAGGTTTTGTCCAAATCTTCCAAAATCTGTCTGTAAACCCTTTGCTTCGTGGGTCCCATGGTGTAATGGCTAGCACTCTGGACTTTGAATCCAGTAATCCGAGTTCAAATCTCGGTGGGGCCCAAATATCCTTGTATCTTGCACAAGGATATTTGGCATGTAGATTAAAGCATCCCATCACCAACCTGGTAGGTGACCTCCACTACGGAACCCCCAACACTAACTGAATCAGATTTCAAGTTCATAACTTATCAAAGCAGTTGCCATTTGGTGGCAACTCCTTTATTGAAGGAAGACATCACATAACATTTCAGTCTTAAGCAAGTAATGTCAGGAGTGGGATTTGAACCCACGCCTCCAGGAGAGACTGCGACCTGAACGCAGCGCCTTAGACCGCTCGGCCATCCTGACACATTTGTGCTTGTTGATACAGAATCCACATGACAGGCTAGCAGATCAAGACACCTTTACAACTGATCAGATTGGCAGACTATTACACCTCTTCTTTACCAACACATATTCAGCTGAGATTCAAGAAGTCACTTTGATGAGACTTTTCTTCAACTATCTGATAAATGAATGTGACCATTTGGTGGCAACTCCTTTATCGAAGGATGACATCACATAACATGACATTTCAGTCTTACTTTTAATAAGCAAGGGATGTCAGGAGTGGGATTTGAACCCACGCCTCTGGGAGAGACTGCGATCTGAACACAGCACCTTAGACCACTCGGCCATCCTGACATCCTAAGCGGACCACTCACTCACCCTCTCCGTTTCTTGCTGTGCTGAATTGTAGCATGAACGAATGCCGGCTGCATTTGAAGGAGTCGACGAATTGGGACAGCCTTTGTTGCCTGGCTGTGACTTATTTGGCTTTCAAATGCGGCCTCCGAAGGATGCAGCCGACGTTTTGGGACACAGCTACAGGGGTGAGTTGGCAACCAATGTTAATTTGCATTACCGCCCCCTGGCTCACAGCTCAGTGGACGTTTAAATATACATAAAAATATATATTTGATACATAAAATAAAAATAAATAAATGTTCCCTTTAGAAATCTTTTTTTTTGCTCTATTTTGCTCCATAAAAATAGTTGTTTTTCTTTTTCAATCACTCATCTTAGCAGTAGGATATACATGAAAAAAGAAATATATTAAGTTTGAGTGAAAATGTACATCCTTTGCACTCTCTGGGCAACTGACTCAATGACTCAAATCACTCATAAGACCCGATTCACTTTGGTGAGTGACTCATTGAAACTCGATTCAGTAAAAAGAATTGAATTTACCATCACTACATGTGACGGTACAGAGCAGGGGAAGGCGGGGCTTGTTCCCTCCTAACCAGTAGGGGTGTTAAATATACTCTTTGGGGTTTTATTCTTATATTGATATTATTTACCTTTTATTTTTGATCTACTTTACCTCAACTCAGTGATTAACAGAGTAACGATGAATCACAATTAACAATAACAATGTTGTAGTGCATTACTGAGTCATGTAAACTCACTGGGTTGCACAACCAATAAAGAATGCTTATTCTCAAATAATTGCAAATCCTCAGCAGCGGTTTTTGATACGGGCGACACGGGCAGTTGCCCGGGGAGGCATCGTGGTGGGGGGGCGGCATCACGGGTATCGGCAAAAAATAAATAAAAAAATTGCTCGTACTCATGCTGCCCCGACATCAGCCAGCGCATAATGAGAATGGCATAGGCACTGACTGGTTTTCTATCGCCCTTTTGCTGGGAGTAAGGGCGCCCTCCACTTGTGAAGTGCGCCTGTTGCTTGTTGCACAGGGAGGAGAGGGCGGGACGGCGGGGGATTCTCTAGCTGTCTGGAGCGGCATCTAATAACCAACCCGTAAAATAAAAAAAATAAAAACAAAACAACAAACATGTGAACTAAGGTGTAGGTCTATTAGGTTATGTTGTGGTGATCCTCGAGTTGGGGGATTTGTGTTCATACTGGAGTGCAAAATTAAAACCAATGGAAGATGGACAAGTAAGGTTCAAAGCCATCAGGTGCTCAGCTTAGAAAAAATAGAGAAGAAGAGGAGGAGAAACGAGCAAAAGATACAGGTAAGCAGATGTGTCATTGGATAATGGCAGGTCATGTATCCTGAAACAATCAGAATACTTTATTAATCCCTAAGGAAATAATGTGGATTACAGTTGCTCCAAAAAGAAATGGTAAAAATAGTAACAGTAACAGACAAACAAACTTCAAACATTATGTTACAGATTTTAATATTAATTAGTCAGTGTCAATTGTTGATTTGTCCTGTTCTCATTGTATGACGAATTATGATGGCTGTGTGGTTGTCATGGCTACTGAACGGACCCACGCGCAGACTGTTCTTTCAAGGAAACAAAAGGGGATTTATTTACAATAGGGATCACCTTAGTGCAAAATATATGTACAGTGAGTTGGGAGGGGGTCCAGGGCTCCAGGGAGAGAAGGGGGGGGGAATCCACACACACGCTTCCTCTTCCACTCAGTCACCGCCACCGCTCCTCCGCACACACGCACTCCTCTTCAGCCGCACTCGCTCCAACACTCCACACACTGCCCCACTTGGACAGGTCCGGTGATTCGGTCCAGAATCTACAGACAGAAGGTCAAAGGTTAGTTCCACAACATAAAACACGTGTAAGCGATTCTTCTTTGAATATGCCGCGAGCACGAACTCAGGTGGTTCGACGTTCCAGCGGTGAGCTGCTCTGTGCCACTGCCTTAAATAGCAGCTGGGGAAATCAGCCAGATCAGCCGCAGGTGGACACCATCCACAGGGGTGCGTGGGCCAAGAGTGAGAGCCCGTAATGAGCTCCACCCAGGCAGAGAGGAGGAGGAGAGACAAAAAACTAAAACTAACAACAACAAAACCTGTAGCCAGCGTGGGCCAACCAGAGAGACACGGGGACCGTGACAGTGGTAGCCGTTTGCATACAATGCATACTCCCTCTCTTTGTGTGTGTGTGTGTTTCTCTGGGGAATTTCGACAACAGTTTTATGTTAATGTACAATCCTTACGGTAATATGTTTTATGTGTGTGTGTGTGTGTGTGGGGGGGGGGCGCCAGAGTGAGTGTTCGCCCAGGGCGCCAAACAGGTTAGGAGCACCACTGCTCAGCCCGCAGGCAAAAAGAGCCAGGTCAGGCAGATGATGCATTTCCCCGCAGACACATTGGGGGGCGACAACGGTCAGCCGGCTGGCTACTCACCTTGCTCATTGGCATGCTTTTGCCCCCTCTCCATGGGTGCTGAGAATTGTTGCAGTTTCTGAGGTTTGCATTCGAGGGTGTAGCCACGAAGACTAGTGCTGCTCTTGCTCCTCGCACCTTTGTGAAATGTACTGAGGCAGCGTTAGAGAGAGTGGCATCCGCATCTTAACCTATCTAAACAACTGGGCCACCGCTCCAGAGAGCAGGTGGCAACACTGTTGTCGTTGGTTCTGTCACACACTAGGCACTGGGTTTTTCTGTCAAGTTTCAAAAAAACGTGCTAGTCCTGAATCAGCAGATTTCTTTTTATTGGTTTAGAAATACGCTCGCTTTCAAGCCGCGAACGTTTGTTTGAGCACAGAGGGGCAGCATTTCATTGCTGCCTTGCTCAGTTTCAGCTGGGACCCAGATTGCATTTCCAAATGATATGATGATGCTTGTTAGGCATGATGGCAGCTATGATCATTGTGTTGCCACTAGGACTTTCAAATTTCACAAGGTTACATTCACACAAAGTTGTTTTTTTTTTTTCTCATAATACTATTTATTAGCTATGCATCCCATTTTGCCTTTGAATACATTTTAGATTTTCATATACATCTATATTTTGTTTTGTTTTTTACAACTAGAGCAATGTCACTGGCCACACCGAATGACAGCCCTGAATTCCAAAAGTTTCCAGAGGAAAAACAAAAATATACTCAACTGATCAAGCTAGAAGTGGCTTATAATCATTAACTGTATATAAAAAGAGACTGATGTCATCCATTAGTTCAATTCTATTTAGAAATCTTAAGCTGAGCAGTTCCACAGTTGCCCTGACCTCTTTATCACCCAAAGCTTCTTTGCAACCACAGGAGTTGCCGTATATGACTATAATAGATAAACAATATCTATTATAGTCATATACACATCAAGGTCTTTCATTAATACGTAGTTACATCAGTTAAGTTGACCTTTCCAGAAAACTTAATTTACAGAATGTAAGATAATGTATGCAAATCTTCACTAATACATAAAATAATGTTATTAAAACCTTAAGTGTAAGACCACTACATAACAGCACTAAAGAATTCCTCTGAAGCAACACCAATCTGCTCTTCAGCAGGGATAAACACCACATATCTGTACAGAAAAAAAATCATTTTTACACATTTATGTTGTCATGTTTTTATCTCTTTAGCACCTCCTCTCACTCTCTCTATAAATCACAGTTAAAATACATTGTTTGGTTTTTGTGTGTTTTTAACATAGTGTAAGCTGATGAACTTTCTCTGCAAGAAGTTGTCATAATTTATATTATTAGTACATTACATTCACTGCCCCGGAAAATGAAATAAAACCCCACGTCATGCACTGTCTCTGCAGTACAGTGTACATTTTAGGACATCCTCAGGTCTCAGACAAAAAGTCATCAGGTCTCAGGTCTCAGAAATTCAGGTGTGAGGTCTCAAAAAAGTCAGGTCTCAAAGAGGTCAGGTCTAAGGTGTCAGGTCTCAGAACACAAGCTATCAGACGGAGAGAAGCCTCCTTTGATATTAAGAACAAAATGTATTGTCCCATAATAATCCTATTTAATCTGATCAGCATTTAGCATTTGACAAGAAAATTGCTGATGAATATAAACCTTGAGCAAAAGGACCTCTAGTGGTCAATCCCTGTACAGATAAACGCTGCATTTCTGTTAATGACTAGTAAGAGCTTTAAATTTGTTTTTAAAATCAGAGCAACCCATAAAAATAGATCAAAGACTTAAAAATAAACTATAAAATAAACTTATCAGGAAAAAAAAGGAAAAACTAAAACCCTGGTTTCTAATCCCCAATGTTACTTAAGTGCAATCTTAAAATCAACAGGTTTTATCCTGTGCACACAGTGCCACGGCCACTCAGCACAGTCACATTTGAAACAACAATAATCTGTTAAAAGCTACATAAATTATAACCCACTAAGTTTTAGCACTTACCCTGGTATAGAAAATGAAACAAACACACACCATTATTTATTGATTTTTTTCTTTATTAAGTAATGTTTTTTCAGTTGAAGCCATTTAAAGTCTATTTAATAATGCTGTGTTAGAACAGGCACTTTAAAGCTCTTTGTACTGTAAGGTTAAAACCCCACAGTATTAGAGAGAAAACCCCAGCAATCAAACGATCCCCTATGAGCAAGCACTAAGGCGACGGTGGGAAGGAAAAACTCCCTTTTAATAGGAAGAAACCTTCAGCAGAACCAGACTCAGGGAGGGGCAGCCTTCTGCTGTGACTGGCTGGGGGCATAATTGTGATGTAATTTTATGCTAAGGATACTGAATTTCATGTTTGTTTGTTAGAATTAGTGAATTAACATGATGACTATTATAAGTAAAACTAAAAGTGCAAGTGCACCAATTACTGAAGTCATCCAAGAAATTATATCTAACCATCTTCTGATTGTAGGAATCAGGCCTGAATTAGCTCCATGGGGAAACCTACGTTGAATAATTGCTGAAAAATGATTGAACAATGAGGTAAATGGTGC